AAGGAAGCAAGAGCTTTGATAGGCTTGCACGTCCGGCAACAACACCTTGGGGCAATCTTAGCTGCTGAGAATGCCAAGGAAGCTTGGGACGCACTAGAAAAGACCTACAAGGGCAAAAGTGCGGCTCGGAAGTTGTCCCTCCGGCATGAGTTGAGCACCCTCAAGATGAGGTCCGGTGAGTCCGTTGCCGGGTATGTGGGTAGGGCACAAGACCTTTACCGGGACTTGGTTGCCGCCGGTGTTGAGATGAAACCGGATGATCTATCCTTTACCGTGCTTGCCGGGTTGACTAGCCGGTTTGAGGGGCTGGTAACGGTGTTGACGTCGTCCAAGGAGGAGCTAGGCTCGGTGGAGGAGATTCTTTCCACGTTGCAGGTGTTTGAGCAGAGGCATGGGCTGTCAGGGGAGCAAGATCTTGGGGCCTCGGGCTCGGCAACGGTGGTAGCCTATGCTGCCAAGAGTGGTGTCTTTGCGGGGAAGGGCAAGAGAGGCCCGGGGAAGGCTTCCATGGCTTGCCACAAGTGTCGGAAGCTCGGGCACTTTGAGAGGCCAGGGAGTGCAGTTTAGGGCCCCAAGAGCCCGAGAGGCCCAAGACGGGAAAGAAGTGCTACATTTGCGGTAGCCCGGACCACTTCAAGAGGGATTGCCCAAAGAAGGGGGAAACCGGGGGCCGGCAAGGGGTTGCTTTTGTAGCCGGGGAAGGGTTGGAGACCGGGAGGTGGATTGTTGACTCCGGGGCTTCCCCAACACATAACGGGGTTCAGAGCCTCCTTCTCGACGTTGGAGATGCTTGAGCCAGGGGCTCGGAGAATAAGGTTCGGGAACAAGGGGTTCCTTGAGGTTGCCGGGGTTGGCACCGTGGAATTGCGGTGTGAGACGCCGTCAGGAGAGCGGGTCAACCTTCTCCGCGAGGTAGCGTATGTTCCCGGTGTGGCGGAAAATCTCTTCTCGGTGAAGAAAGCCACCGCGGTAGGAGCCGCGGTTGTGTTCGTTGGGGAGGTGTGTGAGGTGTCCGTGGACGGAGAGATCGTGCTTCGGGCGGAGGAAAACGTGGAGGGCATTTCGGTTGTTTGCCAACCAAAGTCCACGTGGGAGGACACGTGCTTGCTCGTGAGGGAAGCCGAGAGCCCGGTGTTGTGGCACCGGAGGTTGGGGCACGCCGGATACGAGAGCTTGGCCAAGATGGTCGAGGGGGGGTCGGTCCGGGGTGTGGGGGTAAAAGCCGAGGCGTTTCGGGAGGAGAAGACCGTGATGTGCGAGCCTTGCATCATTGGGAAGCATACCCGAACGCCGTTCCCCAAGGAGTCGGACTCTAAGGAGAGTACGGAGCCCCTCGAGCTAGTGCACATGGACGTGTGGGGGCCCATGCCGGTGACGTCAAAGGGGGGGAGTAGATACTTGGCCACTTTCTTCGACGACTATAGCAAGCTTTCGGTGGTACAACCGATGAAGCGGAAGAGCGACGTCACGGCAGTCACGGAGAGCGTGTTTGCCCGGTTGGAGTTGCAATTCGGAAAGAAGGTCAAGTCGGTGCAAACGGACCGGGGTGGGAAGTACGTCAACGAGGGAATGACGGCCCTCCTTGGCAAGAAAGGGACGGTGCAACGGACCACGGCGGGGCACTCTCCCGAACAAAATGGCTCGGCGGAGCGGTTGAACCGGACGCTCGAGGAAAGGGGGCGGGCTTTGCTAGAGAACGCCGGATTGGACCCGAAATTGCGGGCGGAAGCGATGGTTACCGCTAACTACACGCGAAACCGGGTGCCCTCGAGCGTGCACGGCAAGACCCCGTGGGAGAT